CCGACTTAGCCAAAATACAGTAACTAGTTTGGGTTACACAAAGTATTCAATAGCTACAGTCGCTCTAGTTACCTATTTTCTTTAAAGAAGTGGATATAGGATAACACTATCTTGAACAAGAGGAATTTAACCTCTTATTTATAACAAATTTACATAGTAAGAAAAAGATCAAAATTGAGCACTTTTCTTATCTCTTCTCATTGAGTCATCATTAAACTCATACTATATAACCTTTTTTTATCTAATTCTAACCCCTTTCTCACAGCCATTTTCATTAAAATATTCGATGGAAAGAAAAAAAGCCAAAAAGAAGATAAGTTGAATGAAGGCTTTTGCACTATCATTGTTCTTTACTTGTCAATTTACTTATCTATCTCATTGACTCTTTTATTAATTCATATGCTTGTATTATTTATAGCTATACATCTTACCCAACAAGGTAATATTACCTTAACAGCTGTTATACCAAATCGGGTAAGTATCTTCTGCTTCAATGGGATCATTGATAGGGCTTGACTTTCATACAATCAATATTTAAATGCTTCATTATAAAGAACTTGGCTTGAGCAAGTTTCTTGCATATGATTATCATGGTGAAATTTTGGGTTCTGGAACACTGCAATATGATGGCACTTGTGTAATAATTTCATACTCCCAATGTGCAGTGTTCTGCATGATTCTTAGATTCTTTTGTATATATAGTTTTGCCAGTAACAATTCTCCCACCTTAATTTTTTATGTCTTGTACAAAAATCTAATGCATCAGTCTTGGAGGACACTTGATCATATATCTTTTTTGGTGTAATAATATGAATGATGTTGATTTTTTTTTTTTTTACTAAAAATCTATATACTAATATTAACACTAGATATGACGAAAAACAAAAACTAAAAAACTAAAACTTTAACTCAATACAAAAAAAGACACAAAAACTCAAACACAAAAAAAAATACATCTATGTCTAAAACAAAGAGTCAAATCCTTGTTATATGCCTCTTAACCCCATGTACAACTGTTATGCACATCCATATATGATTCAAGATAAAAATTTTTTTTTTGTTTTTTTCAATCAATTATTTAAAATGTTGGTCTTCATAAAATTTTTACTAGGGTCGAATATTCGTATGATGTTCTATAGCAGCAGGTACAAAGGATTTTTTTTTGCTAGATTTACTTTTATAAACTGAGTTTTGTTTGCTTTTATTAACTCTATTCCTTTTCTATTTTTATCATGCAAACTTCTCTGAATCTTGATTTTTATGACATATTCATCCAGCAGCATCTTTTGTTTTATGCCTGTTTTAGCAAATCTTTGTATAACTTGACTGGGAAAAGCATTATAGCCACGAAATTGTTCGGAAGAAAAGTTCTCATTTTCAAGATAGCTCTCATTCTAATAACAAGGTTTACTGGGATCGAATTGTCTATCTAATTTGTAGTCTTTAGCATCTTTCTAATACTATTTATCTGATTCATCCATTTCAGCACCAATTTCTTGAAATGTTCCTTTAATAGTCTTTATTTTGGTAGGCCTTTTTACTGTATACGTAATTATTTGAAATTTGTTAACTTTTTCTATCCATTCTTCACATATATGTTGCAGAGCTTTGTTTTCTGGAAACCTTTCTGGTAGAGAACTATTCACTTTCTCATCACTATTATCATCACCAACTAATGTCTCGTGATTACTTTCATTGTCAGCTTCATCATAGTCAATGTATTCAAGCCTTGTGGATGAGTTTCATATTTTTTTTTTCTCTTTTTAATTCAATTCATTCAATTTTGATTTACTAATAGCATCTACTTCAATCTCTTTAACTCCAATTTCTTTCTTATAGCCAAATAAAATCAGACATGTTCCATTAGCATCACCTATATCTGCAGACTTTTGGTAATAAATGAATACATTGTGGTTGTTCTTTTTGATATCAATTCCATTTTAGATGCAAGGTCCAAGGTCAGTTTCATTAGTAGAACTATTCCTAGCATCAGAGAAATGCATTACAGGACTTTTATGATTATGCCAAAGATTTTTATACAGATCCAATTCGTTGCAAAAATGATTGTTAAAGATATTCCGTTTATAGCCCATATCTTTCTACTATCACGACCCATTTCTGTAGATTTTCAGTAATAGGCAGGTGCCTTAGGTTAGCACTTTTCAACTCTAACTTTATTATCTTCATCCTTTTCGACTTCAATTCCACCAGCTTTTTACCTTTGGCAGCTTTAAACACCACACTTTATCCTTTTTAATACCAGATTTCTTTGGGATCTATTTTTGTATGATAGTGTCCAACTTTGGAGAAAGGGTCTTAGGTCGATATTCCCTCTTCAAAACCAAGTTCTATATTTCCTGCCATAGCAGGTCTTTTTTGCTGGGCTTCACAATAGGAACTTTCAGAGTAGCGAACATAGAGGGTGCTGGTGATGGGCTTATTCTTCTTGCAGTTAGAGCTAGTTGGATATACGGGAGCAGATATGTGATTTCTTCTTTTTTATTGTCATTTTTTAACATTTTTTCTACAAATTCCATTGTAAGCTTTAGAGTCTTGGAGATTTGCTCAGCATCAAGAGGGCCATTGAAATTTTCATTTACTATTTCTTGAACTGATTCAAGTTGTTTCAATAAAAGTGTCTTAAGGATCGTAGTACACTTTTCATATAACCTCCTCCTGGCTAGACGGTGTGTTTTTCTATATTACAATATGTATACCAGAACCCTTTTTTTACAGTTTCTTGAAATGGTTTGTACATATTTTTTTTTTTTTTTTTTGTTGAGGTGCTTGTTTAACTTTACTGATTCTTTTTTTTTCTCTTTTTTTTTTTTATATAACAGATCTGGCTGGTACTTGAGGCTCGAAAATAAGATACTACATAATAATATATAATGATGAAAAAAAGAAAAAAAAACAAAAAAAAATACTGGTAGACTCAGTTTGTTGGTCTACAAGAAACAGTACTACTAATTTGGTTCAGACATAGTATGTTGGTTCTTATCAAAAATCTAATCAAACAGAAAAAACTCAAACAAAGAAAAAGACAAAATTTAAAAAAAAAACATCAGGATAATCACCGCAGTTCTTTAATTCATTCCTCATAGGCAGATTGTCAAATATCATAGTCCAGCTGCTTAGAGCTTTCAACAAGTGCTCGATCTCACAGTTATCACCAAATTTGTCAAAAGCAAATTCCACTCCAACAAGAGTGATATAAATTAATGATTTGATGTGTCAACAGAAAGCAAGATCAATAACAATGCTTAGTAAAGAAATGAGGCAGATTTTGACTTAGTGCAGGTCAAAGGCATCTACTGAAGATCGTTATGTAAGTACTTCAGTACAAAGTTTTAAGAAACATTTGAATTAGGTTTATTTGAAGGTTTTTATTAATGATTTTTTATTGTATAGGGCAGATTGTAGTCACACTGGGTCAATTCTAGGATATTTTATAGAATAGGTGGGCAAACTCCGCCAACTCCACAACTCCGATATTAAAAAATTAATGATTACTAATCATTAGCAAAGCTTATTTCTTATATTGCCCACCTATTCTATAG